TCTCTCTCTCTCTCTCTCTCTCTCTCTCTCTCTCTCTCTCTCTCTCTCTCTCGCATACTCGAGTGAATCACTGCAGATTTTGTCAAATGAGGTAGCAATTTACAGGCAAATTTCATAGCCAGGAGGGAGGGGGATGAAAATAAATGGATTTTTGTTGATAGTACAACGAGTGGTGAATGTAAATCGGATATTAAGTCATCATCCCGCGCAACCAGTGGTACTAACGGTGGGGGTTGTTGCCGTCCAGCCCCTCTATTACGATCCAGCACTCTACCGGCAATAGTAGCACCTGGTCTTAGTATTCTGCAGAAGCAAATCGATGCTAGATACGCCGCTGCTTGTGGTACTGGTGCATCCGGACCTGGCAGAGGTATTCAATACATTGATAATGCTATTAACGTTGAATTTAAGTTGATTCCAACGGTTGCGGTTGACTAGATTACACGCTTTTTTTCATTCTTCTATTCGATTTTTATTTGTAGGAAGTTTTAATGCCGCTGGATTCAATGAGCAAACGGAGAGAATTGAGTCGGGTGTTAAAAGCGTGAAATTGTTGGCACCAAGGATTTTCTTCACTGATGATACTCTTGGTGAGTCTTGATCGGATAACACGAAACATTGGGGATTGAAGGGGAGGGCTTATTGGATTAATTTTTTAATTGGACGATCTTTGTTTTTGGTGGTGAGGAATTGCAGCGTTAACAATTATTCGTTGAAGTTTTCCATATATTTTTTGGAAATTCACGGAGAAAATAGTTAGAGAAAAATTACCAGATAAGTCATGTAATCGTGGAGCGGAATCCATTGTTAAGTTTTTTTTACCCCATATTGGGGAAACAATGCGAGAAAATAATGCAGTTTTCTCCACTGACGTGGGAGAATTTAATAAATGTGAGCAGTGATGCCGCGAGACACTTTACGAGACAAAATTTTGGGGAGATGATCTCGGTCTGAATGAACATGAAAATCTTTGCTCTCATCTCAGTGTCGAAACAGGCAGCATTGACTCCTCTCGTGATAGCTCCGGGTCAATTTATCTCATCTCAGTCTAGTGATGCCGCGGGATACTTTACGCGACAAAAATTTGGAGAGATGATCTCGGTCTCAATGAACATGAAAATCTTTGCTCCCGTCTCAGTCTCGAAATACGCAGTGTCGACTCCTCTCCTGATGACTCTGAGTCAATTTATCTTATCTCGGTCTCAAGTTTTTCATAACGCAAAAAACTGGAAACCGAGATGAGATAAATCAGTAGCGAAGCGGTAAACCGGGTTAAGTCGATTTTGACTATTGGCCAGTTTTTGAAGAATATCTCGGAATCTAAAAGAGATAGAAAAATTTTTGTCATAACCTTTTTTGTAGATGCAATTAAGTGTTATAAAAAAGGTCATGAACAAAATTTCGCTATCTCTCTTAGGTTCCGAGATATCCGTCAAAAACTGACGAAAAGTCAAAATCGACTTAACCCGGTTTACCGCTTCGCTACTGAAATTGACTCGGAGTCATCACAAGAAGAGTCCATACTGCGCATTTTAAGACTGCGACGAGATCAAAGTTTTCCGTGTTCTCTGAGACTGAGACAATCCCTCCAAAGTATTGTCTCGTGATGTCTCGCGGCATTACTAAATGTGAGGGTAATTTGTGGTGTAACTATAAAATTTAGTATTTTATCAGTGATTAGGGGAGGTAGTGCCTGTACCGCTCATACGGAGAGAAATATTCAATGAAATTTACGTATCTTTTCCGTAATTCCGGAGCGAAATGTGGTTGTAGGAAATTTTAGGGTACTGTCACGTAATTTTTACCTGAATCTCCAGTGAAAAATTACGGCACACGCAGAGAAATTTTTGATTAAAATTATCCTACCATTCTATAAAAGTGTATCATGAGTCATCGTTTCCTCATTTCTATACCGAAATTTAGTAAAAATTAATATATGACGATCAAATTTTATTCTACGTTAGAGAAATTTTATTCTGATTAAAATAAAAATTACCGTGCAGGTAGAATAGAAATTACTGTACCGGTAGGGTAAAATTAACCAACCGTTCTAGAATTTTCGTTGTTATCTACATAAAAATTATTGGAAATTACTGGAAGGGTAAAATTTATTATGAGTCAGGATAAAATTTTTCTAACATAGAATAAAATTTGATCATCATATATTAATTTTTATCAAAAACTTCTCTCCGTGTACCGTCACTTAAATTTTCTAAGTCGATTCCATAATTGGTGAGCGAACTGTGAGTTCCGTAATTTTTACTGAACGTTTTTCTCCGTGCACCTAAAGAATAACGACAATTCTTGCAGCCCAACCCATAATTTCGGATAAAAATTTCTGTTGTACAGCATTCTTTGGCTATTCAGCTAGATCTTTGGACATCATAGACCCCCACTTCTTGGTGAAATTTCGATAAGTCATTAAAAAACGAAGACAGGAGCTGAGTGAGCGGTACTGGCTGCATGCAGCCAATACCGCTCACTCAGCTCTCCTCTTCGTTGTTCGATAATTTATCAAAATTTCAGCAAGATTGAGAGTTTATGATGTCAAAACATCTAGCGGTATAGCTAAAGAATACTTCGCGATTGTAACTTTGAGACGAAATCATGGGTTGAATGCAAGAATTATTGTTATTCCTCACGTGAGCGGTATAGGCGCAGTGCCTATATTAGCCTCAAATTACACTGTAAAGGCCCGAAAACAATGAGGTGCCCGAGTGGAAATCCCACTCAGTTTGGATCTACATTAGTTTTAGGTTCAATACTGGTCAGAATTTATTGATTAGACTTTCGGATCAGGATCTGATGAGATTCTGAATCGAGTATCTGTATCCATTGCGGCAGAGTGAATTGTGAACCTATTCTGATCAGTCAAATCTCGACTAGATCCGTATCGGATCCGGTGCTGTTCAGGAAGATCGAATCCTAGAATTTTGACCAGGCATGGACCCAAACAAGCGTTACATTTCTGATCCAAAATTGATCAAAATCAGTTTTTACTGGTCAATCTCTTATTCTATCCTAATTTGAATTTCCACTCGGATGCTGTTCTCGTAATTTAAAGAGGTGAAAGGAGGATTTTTTTTGTGAGAATTACATATTGATAGTAGAGCCTTCAGAGTGAGTGAGAAATTGTTTCGGAAAACTAAGTGGTTGTGGAGAAAAACGAGTGACCGGTATTGGCTGCTGGGCGGTATTAAAGGCATAGCATCCCCTACGCAATATTGAGCAATCATTCACATATGTGAAGGATTTTTTTGGGACGGAGAATGATATTTTTATCAGACGCGGTATGGTAAAATTTCACTTTCGTCCGTCCCCATGTTATTCACTTCGGAGCCAGAAAAAATACCCTACGGTGTGGGAAATTCTACTGCACAGGGAACAGTATTTTTTGTATCCATAGATGTGTTTTTTTATCGAACGAATAGCAGGATATCCTTTGCTAAAGGTATTTTTGATTGAGCTACAGTTTCGCTCCACGATTACCTCTCGTATAGGAAAATTTACCACGATTTTCTAGTAATTTTTATTCAACCTCTTTGTCCGAATTTTTATCAAGTGACAGTTCGGCTAAAATTCAAGTGATTTCGTTACGTAGAATTTACAATTTATTAAAAGAATTAATTGAAGTTTCCACCGACTGTACACTGAGAAAAAATTTTATTCCTTCCAAGAAAATGTTATTGGTGATATCTTTTTCATACTCTTAGTAGAAGAAAATATCTCTTTTGGAACGTATTTCTCCAGGCCAGTCATTTCCAGGTGCTCCGAAATCAGTTCCAAGCGTGAGAATTATGGTGATCTATAAGAATATTCTTCTGCATATGACCTCGAAGAAACTCCAATAATAATTAT